AGGGCAAGTGAGCGTGAGAACTCACTCACTCCTTGGACAGTTATCGCAGTCCCCAGAGGGTGGAGTCCTGGACCCAGACTCCTCAAAGGCCCCAGCACCTCTCACACAGTTACCCTGGGGACCCCATTTCAACATGAGGTTTGGAGGGGCCAACCACGTTCAAACCACAGCAATAATGAAAACATGTATGTTAAAAAAACTCACTGCCTCCTCATTTACAAATTGGTTAAAAGGTTATTAAATATATTTTTATAATTTCCAAATAATATGTACACATAGATGAGATGATAGAAAAAATACCCTCAGAAAATCAGTTCTCGACTTCAACAAGGTCTGGAAGGAACAGACCTATCTAGACGGCCAAACGTGGGGGAAAGGTCCTTGGTGGAAATTGCTAGATTTCACAAGTCCACCTGTGAGCCTGAGTCAGTCAGTGTCCCTCGGCCTGCCCGGTGGTGCATGGACCAGGCCTCACGGCAGAAGCCATGCCAACCTGAGCGGGTCCCCAGGCCTCCCACCAGCTGTGGCCTGGGCGAGTCCCTCTGCTCGTCACATTGCCGTCTCCGTGTCTGCAGAGTGAGGACAGTGGTTCTTAGACCACAGGGAACCACATCGGGGGGCTCAGTGACCGTCCAGGTGGTGCCCCTGCTAACACTTTCTTCTCTCGCGACTCAGGGGATGATCACGCTGATCTTGGCCACTGACATGGCACGGCACGCAGAGATTATGGATTCTTTCAAAGAAAAAATGGAGAACTTTGACTACAGCAACGAGGAGCACATGACCCTGGTGCGTGGTCTTGCTCTGCCCCCCGGGGACTGCCGCCCAGGATCACAGCAGCCAGCACAGGCGGGAGACCCAGACACTAAACCCATAGCCTGGCCTTGGCGTGAGGGCCCCATACCGCTGGCACCCAGGGTCACAACTTACAAGGCCAGCTGTGGCAGGGCTGCCCCCCCAAAGGGCCCTCCTGCGTGGCTAGGACATGTTTCCCCATGGGCCAGCAGGGCTGGGCTGGGTTCCCAGAGTTCCGAGGCACCCCGCCCTCGGTGCTTTAAATAGGGGTTTCCTTCCTCGCCCTTTCTTGAAAGACATCTCGTTCTCACACTCCCAGCCTCGGGTCTCTTCTTGGCACCCTGTCCATCGTAGCCTCCTGACAGGGCCTCCTCTCTTAGCCCCCTGACAGGGCCTCCTCTCTTAGCCCCCTGACAGGGCCTCCTCTCTTAGCCTCCTGACAAGGCCTCCTCTCTTAGCCTCCTGGCAGGACCTCCTCTCTTTCTCCTGCCTTGACAACCAGGAAATGATGTTTGAACTTGCAGTTTACAGTTGGTATCACAAGTGTCAGTGTCGGATGCCGTGGGGGGGCTGGCGCTCCCAGTCTCCTGGCGGGGGGAGCATGTCCCTCCAGGTGGCACAGCTGTTTCCCCTCACTGGCCTTGGGGCCAGTTCCCACCTGGGAGGTCACCTTCCCATGCCGCAGCAGTGGTCTACACTCTGATTCTCTTTCAGCTGAAGATGATCTTGATCAAGTGCTGCGACATCTCTAACGAGGTGCGGCCCATGGAGGTGGCGGAGCCCTGGGTGGACTGTTTGTTAGAAGAGTATTTTATGCAGGTAAGAGACTCACGAGGCCCACGGCTCTTAGCGGCCTGCGACATGGGGTCGGGGTGTGCTGGTGTGCCCAGCCCCCACCCCCAGCCTGCAGAACGCCTTCCCAGCAGCAGCCGAACTGAGGCCCACCTGTCACCACCGTGGAGCTGCCTTTAGGGGCAGCTCCTCAAGTGAACTGCAGAAAGGTCGAGAAGCGAGAGCCAGAGAGGCAGGGGGAGCCCAGGGAAGGGGAGCCTGGGCGGGTCACCTCACGAGGACAGCACAGGGTGCTGGGGACAGATGGCTGCACAGCCCTGCGATGCCCTGGCGAGGGCGGCCTGGGGCCAGGGCTCCACTGCCCCCCCCCGGCCACGGCTCCGCACACCTGCTGAGGCGCCTCCCCCTCCCCACACGCAGTGTTGGCCCCACAGCTGCTTCCCCGCTTCCTATGTGGACAGTGACGCTCAGGGGTCCCAGGTCCCACAGCGCCTCTGTCTACCACACTCCCACAGAGCGACCGTGAGAAGTCAGAAGGCCTCCCTGTGGCCCCGTTCATGGACCGAGACAAAGTGACCAAAGCTACAGCCCAAATTGGGTTCATCGAGTTTGTCCTGATCCCAATGTTCGAAACGGTGACCAAGGTGAGTGGCCGTCACCACAGACTGATGGTGCACCAGTGAGAAATGCACACGTCTGTGCACATGAGCACACACACACCTGCAAATGGGCATTCACACATTCATGCACGCACATCAGCGCACACACGTGCACGTGGCCACAGAGCACAGGCGCCTCACCGTCTTGCTGTCATGGAGACGGCTGCTGGGGAGCCACTGCACCCTGCTGGGCCCAGCCGCCTTCCGGCTCTCTGGGTGCTGGCCTCCCCTGCACTGTGGGGTCCCACCTGCTGCCCGTCACCACTGGCCCAAAACCCAGCCTGCAGTTCTGGCGCCTGGCTCTCCTGACCCCCAGGCCTCACCCCTAAGGAAGCAACCAGAATTGGTGCCTATGGCCACTCCCCAAGGCCTCCACCTCGAGTCCCCCATGTCCAAGACAGAGTCATCTTCCCCACCCCCATCACCCACCCCCTGTTCTGCCAACCCTCTGGGCCGGGGTGTCTCTCAGGGCTGCCATTCCTGTTCCAGGACCACCAGCCAGGGGGCTTTTGGCAGCCGTCACCTGTGTGTGTCAGCACAGGAACTTTCCGGCCCGTTCCCCACCTGTGACTCCTGGGGGCAGGGGAAGGGAGAGGGCTTGGGGGGTCCCCCAAGGAGCAGCGGAAGGGGATGGCGCTGGAGCCTGGTAACAGTCCCAGGTACTGGGCTGACCACAGGCTTCCCACCACTGTCACCTAGATCTCCCTGAAGGCCCCCACCCAGGAGGGCCAGGAGGGCCACCTGGGGGAAGTGGCTCCTGTGGGATCTGGGAAACTGCAGGCCTGACAGCTCTCTTCCTGAGCATGTACCATTGCCCAAGAGCGGTGGACAGACACAGGGCCGTCTCTCTCCACAGCTGTTCCCCGTGGTGAAGGAGATCATGCTACAGCCCCTCTGGGAATCCAGAGACCACTACGAGGAGCTGAAACAGCTGGACGACGCCATGCAGGAGGTGAAGGCCACTCGAGGGCTCAGGCAGGCCACGCGAGGGCTCAGGCAGGCCACGTGGAGGGGTCAGGCAGGCCACGCGAGGGGTCAGACAGGCCACGCGGAGGGGTCAGGCAGGCCACGCGCAAGCGTTAGGCTCTGCTGTCACCCAGCCCAAGCCCTGTATGTGCTGGACAGGCAGCACCCAGGCTACCAAGCCACGGGGAGGCCGGGCATCTGGACACTCGGGGAAACACCTGGCCTGTACACGCAGGCCCCGAGGAGCGCTGGGGTGAACTGGCTCCTCTGAGGGGTTGGCCACCATGCGTCATAGAGAACCTGGGGTGGGGGGTGGTCGCACAGCCTTAGAGCACTGGTCCCTGTCAGGGGCTCTGGCCTGGGGAGGTCCCTCGCTTCCTGGCCCCAGCTGTCCATGCAGGGCAGCAGAGAGACCAGGACAGAGTGACCACCCACACTGGGCTCCCAGCACAGAGCACACACCAGGCGGCCCAGCTCCTCTGTGGTCAGGGAGCCTGTCTGGCTTCAGGCTGCACTGGCTGATGCTGGCTCTCAGGAAAGGTCAAGGTCACAGGTTCAGGGAAGGTCATGTCTCCACAAACCCAGGAGCTGGCACAGCTGCCTCAGTACTCCCTGGTGCACGTGTCCCCTCCAAAGCCCTTGCTGCTCGGGACCCACAGGGTCTCCAGCCTGACACCAGCTTCCCACGAGGCCTCTCTCTGTCCATCCTCCTGCTCAGGGCCCAGGACATCTAGAGCGGTCTCAGGCCCCTCATGCTCCTCCCAGACCTGGCCTTGGCCACCACTGCCCCCTCCCTTCCTGGCCCGCTCAGTGCTTACCTCAGCCAGGGCTCCCCATGACGGTGCGCCAAGCCCCACCCACTGGGTGCCAAGTGTCCTCCAGGGCATCACCCACCTCCGGGCAGAGCTGGGCACACGGGGCTCAGCCAACGCTGACGAGGCAGCCGAGAAGCCAGACCTGCCGTCCTGGTTCTGCTAGTTGGTCCTTCACCACAAAGTCAGGGGGGGCTCTGAAGTCCTGAGGGGACATGATGTCCACAGAGGGGTCAGGCAGGCCACACGGAGGGGTCAGCTTCTGCCTCTCTGCAGGGCCATCCCACGAGCTGCTGCTGGGAAGGTCTTGAGTCTCAAGTCCTTTGCCCTGCTGCCCAGGGGGGACACCAGGACTCCCCACAGTGCCATCATGTCCCCAAAAAGGAGACACCAGAGCAGTGACAGGGCCATGCCTGAGCCACAGACCCTGCACCCACTGCCAGCCCCCAGCTGTGGGATGCAGCCGGCCCAGCTCCTGTCCAGGTGCTGGTCATGGTCTGCCAGGCGAGGCACAGGACAGGGCAGTGCGCTCCGGCATGAGGAAGCCGCGGACAGCAGGCTCACGGTTCAGCCCTTGCCGCCCTGGCCCTGACTCTGGCCTGCTCTGCTCTGTCCCAGTTACAGAAGACGACGGAGCGCCTGGCACCAGGGAGCACGGAGAGGTGCTGCAGGAAGAGCAGAGATGGGCAGGAAAGTGCAGGTAGCCTTCCCCGGGGCGGGCGGGTGGCTCCCACTCGCGCCCTGCGCGGGCCGCTTAGACAGAGTGGGAGGGGGTTGGGACCCCTGTGTGTGCGTGTGTGTGTGCACGTACACATTTGTGTGCTGGTCTCCCCCTGTTCTTGTAAGGCGCAACCTCGGGGCTCCACCCCACGGCCTGTCTAATCCCTGACTTCCCACAGGCCCCACCCAGACACCTCCTCGGGCCTCACAATGGGGTTTAAACGTCACCTCATGAACCCTTGAGGGTCACTCAAGCCATGGTGCACAGCGTGTTTAATTCCTTGAATAAAAATATAGTAATTAGAACTGGGCTCTGAGAAAAGGAGAGCACACTTCAGTTAGTAGAAAAGATCCATAATTAGGACATATATAGGGCGTTGATCCACGAGGGGCAGGCACAGGGCCTGGGCAGGGTGGTGAGGCGGCGCAGGCTGTGTGGGAGCACCACGGGAGGCAGGTGCACACCTCGGGGAGCCAAGTCTGGCTCTCAGGGAGCTGGGGAGGGGTCTCCATCACAGCAGGAAAGATTCCCTTTCTATGGTGCCTGTTTTGGGGACAGGCGTTACAGGCATTCTGAGTAGTCCTGTGCCCATCCAGAAAAAAATGTTTTTAAAGTGAAATTGAAGTACTTAAAAGTTTTCCAAAATAAAGCATTTGTGTATTTCGCCTAGGCATTTTCCCCCGCACCTGCTGACACTGGTCATTCACTTAACCCGCATGGTGGCAGAAGCGGTCCATGCAGCCACCCCGCAATAAGGTCACACCAGTCACGTGTCTGTCGGGTGACTTGAGAGCTCCTCAGTTTATAAAGCGTTTGGAGCACAGGGCCTGAGAACTGGGGCTGGGCCTGCCAGAGGGCCAGCGACAGCCGCAGGCCGTGGACTCCCGCACGCCCTAGCCTCGCTGCACACAGGCCGAGCGTCTCCACCTCAGACCTCTAAACCGGGGTAGCACCCGTGTCACTGTGGCTTTAGCAATTAAATGAGCAGCGCACTGGTCCTCGCCAGGTGCCCAGCCAACTGCAGCATCCATCTTCTTTGATGGCTTCGGGTTCTTCCATGGCTCAGAAGAGGGATGGTGCTTTCTTTGCCCACGTGTGTTCAACAGGACGTCCCATGACCTCAATCTTTTAATACAGTCCTGTGGTCCTGCGCGCGTGACCTGCCCGCCTGCCCGCCAGGCCCCACGGCTCACCAGGAGCCCTTTCCTTTTCCCAGCAGACTGTTCCTGAAGGAAGCGGAAGAGCTGCGGTACTGTCCAGGGCAGCGGAGCTCCACAGGATGTCTGGGTCAGGGTCGCGCCCTGCGCCGGGCACCTCCAGGCCACGTTTTCTAAGCACCATTTTGTTCACTGATCAAAAAAAAAAGGAATTCATGATGCTGTACAGAATTTTTATTTTTAAACTGTCTTTTAAATAATATATTCTTATACAGAAATGGGTACAGTACTTTTTCTTTGGTAGAGTTGTGTATCCGGGCTGCTTCCCAAGTGTTCACGTGGAGACAAAGGACACTGCTTTTTCAACAGATGTATCTCAGACCCATTGACCAGTGTGATGTAATGCAAACGTCCGTGTAAATTCTGCATTAAATGTCAGACCGGTGCCAGAGTGCGGGGCCGTGCACATTCCTGTGTTCACGAGCAGAGGGCCGTTGATCCACGAGGGGCAGGCACAGGGCCTGGGCAAGGTGGGGAGGCGGCACAGGCTGTGTGGGAGCACCACGGGAGGCAGGTGCACACCTCGGGAGCCAAGTCTGGCTCTCACTCACAGGGAGCTGGGGAGGGGTCTCCATCACAGCAGGAAAGATTCCCTTTCCATGGTACCTGTTTTGGGGACAGGCGTTGGAGGCATTCTGGGTAGCCCTGTGCCCATCCAGGACAGCCAACCCCCTGGGACACACATGGTGACCTTTCTCAGACTCACTACCCCCATGTGACTCACCACAGACTCACCAGTCCATGCCTGGACTACTGGACTCTGTGAAAAGCAAACAGAGGTTTCTAACCCCCACCCGCGGGGCTGTGTGCCCAGCTCTGCTCCCCTGGAGGAGGGACAAAATCACCCCAAGAGCCTCCATTCTAAAGAACTGACCTTAAAAGGCCACTTGCATAAGCCGAGCTTTGGGCACCCCTAAACGGCTAGTAACACCTGACACATTGCGAATGCCACATCTGTGGAGGAAGAGAAAACGTACATAGTCAGTACGGATGTGAGTTTTTTCTAAATGTTTCTTTTTTTAATATTTATTTTTTAGCTTTAGGTGGACACAATATCTTTATTTTATTTTTTTGTGGTGCTGAGGATCGAACCCAGTGCCTCATACACGCCAGGCAAGCACGCAACTTGAGCCATATCCCAGCCCCAATGAGTTTCTTTTAAAAAACTTAACATTGGGGCTAGCATTATGGCTCAGTGGTAGAGCACTCGCCTAGCAAGCGTGAGGCACTGGGTTCGATCCTCAGCACCACAAAAAAACAAATAAAGGTATTGTGTCCAACTACAACTAAAAAAAAAAAAAAAAAAAACCTTTAACCTTTGTTTGTTTTTATGTGGTTCTGAGGATTGAACCCAGGGCCTCACCTGTGCCAGGCAAGCGCTCTACCACCGAGCCACAGCCCCAGCCACCCAAATATTTTTTAAATATTTATTTTTCAGTTGTACTTGGACATAAGACCTTTATTCTATCCATTCATTCATTTTTTTGTGGTGCTGAGGATCAAACCCAGGGCCCTGCATGTGCTAGGCGAGCACTGTACCGCTGAGCCACAACCCCAGCGCCTCCCAAATGTATTTTATACAAGAATATGGATGCTGTCGATGCAGAGGGCAGGATGCACACCATCACATGTGCACATGTGCATCCACACAGGCAATGCGTGTGCACTCCCAGACAAGCCACACGTGAGCTCCGAGGAGCTGCCCCTGCAGGGCCGCACACTTCCTCTGGGCTCAGCCTCTACCACGTCCCAGTACACAAAACCCGCAGACGGCAAGTTGGCAGGGAGAGGAGCTCTTGGCAGAGTCTGCAGAGGGTCAGGTTCTTGGTTGACAGTGTGGCCTTAGGAACTGGCACGGGGGCATCGGGCTCCCCACGAGTGCTCCCCCGAGGCCTCTGCTTTACGTGTTTACACGCGGGGCAGTTCCTGCCCCATCAGCTGAGCCTGTGGGGACAAGGAGCCTGAGTCACTGCTCCCAGGGCAGGTCCCCAACCTTCACGTTGCAGAGAAAGCCCACCAGGAACAATCCATGGCAGAGCATCTCCACAATCCCCAAGGACAGAGGCCCATCCTCCCTGGTCGTCTGCACACCCAGAGACCCAGAGCCTGGTCCCCCAGATACCCACACGTGCAGGGGAGTCCACGGCCACACTCAGCAGTTGAGGTGAGGGAACTCTTGGTACAGCAGAGGAGGTGCACAGGTCAGGGCAGCCCCCAGCCCCGGGGGGACAGGTCCAGCAGGAGGAGCCAGTGTGCAGACAGGCAGGCTCAGGGAAGACGGGCTCCTGGAGGGCCCGTTCCCAGGGAGCACTGCCCACTAAACAAGCTGCTCCTGAGTGGCCGGCGCCAACCTGCCCTGCACGGTGGACTTCCTGCCCCACACTGGCATTCAGCCAGCACAAGGGGACAGGTGCCCAGACCAAGGTGCACATCAGGGCACAAGCAGCAAGGGCACAAGCAGCAAAGCAGCCAGGAGAGCACCGCTGCCGGGCTGCTGTCCAGCCACAGCCTGTCACAGCCGGACTCTCGCCCTGCAGGAGCTTGTCGCCAGTGCTGGTGTGACCACCACACCTGCATGGCCTTGGGTCCCTGCCAGCAGCAGGGAGACGCTGTTTCCAATGCTTTGCCCCCAGAGACTCGGGAAATGCTGCGCATGTCCAAGACTGAATCTGACCAATCCCAACGAATCTGCCTCTGCAGCGTCACCCTCCGAGTCGGGCCCTGCCACGTGCTGCCCTGGGAAGGCAGGGCCCGGCCACCTGTTCCCCTCTTCTGTCGAGAGCAGCCTCATCCCGGCCAGCATCCCGGGGCCAGCGCCCGCCCTGCTCCTGTGCTCACCCTGCCCAGCTCCCTTTGCCTGTGAGAGCTGAGCCCGGGTCCTCTTCACTTGCTGTCACTGGCCACCACGTCACATGGGGACACGACACAGAAACGGTGCCCTGAGGTCGGGCGCACACTGGACACACAGAACACCCACTCCAGGTAAATGTGGGGCGTGGGACCTGCTCCAGGTTGCCGTGGTACAGGACGGCAGCTGCTTCGTGTGGCCAGCCGCCCAGCTGCCTGCCTGGCCCACCGCCACAGGAGACCCGTAAGACTGGAACCAGTCTGTCTAGGGAGAGATGGAGCCACGGCTCAGATGGCGAGGGCTGCTCCCCCGACGAGCCGAGCCGTGGGCGAGGGCGCAGGGGCCAGTGTCCCCCTGGGTCCTCAGGCAGGTGTTCCAGAGTCCACCGTGGGAGCTCCAATCCTTCCAAGGGGAGGTAGAGTGGGCAGCAGCAGGTCCCACAGGCCCCTGCAGCCGGGGTCAGAAGCTCTCCTCCGCCTTTGGCAGAACTCCTCACGGTGAGAACACACGATGCAGGAGCTCGCCTGGGACAGAGCCCGGCCCTGAGGGGAGGAGCCCCTTGTCACGGGCTGCACGGTCCCCCTCAAAGTTCCCTTGGTCCTGCACGGTCCCCCTCAAAGTTCCCTTGGTCCTGCACAGTGAACCCACGGGCACTTTTAAAATTTTGACACAGAGCCTCCTAAGTTGGCCAGGCCACTTTCAAACTTATGATCCTCCTGACTCAGCCTCTGGAGTCACTGGGGTCACCGTGTGCTTCAGCCCACCCACCCCCAAAATTCATACGTGAAAGTCGACCCATAGTCCCTCAGAATGTGACTGTACTTGGAGTCAGGGTCTTTAAAGGTAAAATGGGGTCCTTGGGACAGCCCTGAGCCAATGAGACTGTGTCCTCACAGGAAGGGGATTGGGACACACACACACACGCACACAGGATGGCCCTGTGAGGACACAAGTAGAGCACGCCAACCACCAGCCACAGAGAGGGGCCCCAGGAGGAACCAGCGTGGAGAACCTTGACCTGGGTCTCCAGCCTCCTGGAGGATGTCTGCTGCTTAGTCCTGGCTGGGGTACTTGGTTATGGCCACCCAAGCAGACTGATCACGAACCACTGCCTACGCTGGCCTCCAGGCTGTCCTCTCTCTGGGACTTGCCTGCCATGGGGAGATGGCCCCATCCTGGGGAGCCCTTGAAGGTCTTAGGCAAGGGCACCCTGACACCCTAGCCCCCATGCAGCCCCCAAAGTCACCCCTCCATCTCAAGGGCCGTGAGGCCAGGAGGGGAACCCAGGAAACGCCCAGGGCTTCACCCTCCTCCCCAAGGGCAGGCCCGTGGCTTCCTCCCCGGCAGATACCAGCAGCAAGTGGCAGTGGAAGAAGTGGCAGAAGTCATGACCTTGAGCACTGGCCACCTGAGGACCGCTGACTTGGCCGGCCCAGCACATGAGGTCGGGTCACTAAGCCAAGCTCTGGGCCCTCTGAGCCCAGGTCCTCAGCTCTGCGGTCAAGCTGGGCCTAAAACACCACTAGGGAGTGTCACTGCCCACTTCTCCTCTAGTGTCTAAATTTCCTAAGATTTTCCTTTAATGAGTAAGTAAATGTTATTTTATTTTAAAGATGGGCATGAGCCTGGCAGGAGTTTCAGTCCACAGGAGAAGGCTGTGGAAGGTGGGGGCAGAGACGAGTCCAGATACACACCATCAGAGGCTGAGGGTCACCTGCGTCCACCGGCCACTCATCGGATACCACACGCTGTGCGGCTCACAAACAACAGCATGTGTGGCTCACAGTTCTGGAGGCTGGACGTCCAAACCCCAGGTGCCCACAGGCTCAGTGTCTGGTGAGGCTGCTTCCTGGTCACATGGTGCAGAGCGAGGCCGCCTCTGGGGCCTCCTTCAGAAGGACACTATCCTCACCACGAAGCCTCCACCCTCATGACCTGGTCCCCTCCCACAGGCTCACCTCCTAAAACTGTCACACCAGGGTTGATTTCAATGCATGAATGAGGGCAGGGGTCACAGACATCTGGACTGTAGCTGCTGGTGACCCCTGGAACCTGGGAGAGGCGGGAAGGGTCCTTTTCTGAAGCCTCAGAAGAAGTAGCCCTGCCGTGTGACACCTTGATCCCAGACTTGTACCTCCAGAAGGACAGGGAACCCCTCCCCTCCGCACCAGAAAGACGGGGGACAGGGAGGCTTACCTGGGGTCACTAATGGAACCACAGATGCCAGTTTTTGTTCAGCAGTGCTTTTTGGCATTAGGGATGCTTTAAAGCACCAAATGAACGATTCACAGCAGTGACAACCGTCCTGCCACAACCAGGCTGACCCCACTTGCTTAGTTACTGCCCCCACCCTCCCGCCGTCGCTCAGCTCTCAGATCTGCCCATTGCTCCCCACCTAGCATGGGACTTCCACTCTGCCAGGCTGTGAGGACTGGCACCACGTGCTGCCCTTCCACCAACCACTGCTACCAGCCGGCCCACGGCTCCGCGTCCCCCGTGCCTCTGCGATGGTCAGTTTGCATTGTGTTGCTGCCCAGGAGGACAGGTGTCCTGTGAATGCCTGGCGGCCCTTTAGCTCCCCTGTTCTGAAGCTCCGACCTCTGCTCACTTTCCTCCTGGAAGCCTGTCTTTTCTGCTGACCCTGGAGCTCCTTCCGTGCTGACCCTGAGCTCTGTGTGCTGGCTCCCAGCTGGTCCCCTGGGATGCCGCTGTGACGGAATGTGTCTCCCACGAGGTGAGGCCCTGGAGGGGCTTCGCCTCGGGGATGGCATCAGTGCCAGGGAGCTGCCTCGGCCTCTGCTACCAGGAGGACACAGAGGGAGGAAGGCAGCTTGGAAAAGGAGGCCCACCCGCAGCCAGAGCCGCTGGCCCATCTCCAGCTGCAGCCTCTAGAGCCGCGAGAGGCACACGCTGTGGCCTGGGGTCCCCGTGCTGGGCTCTGTGACAGCCCACACCCATGCGGCCAGTGACTCCCTCACCCTGCCCACATCCCCACGCTGGCTGCCCACAGTGGACTCTCCTACAGACGTGGGCTCAGAATTCCAGGTGCCGCTCGGCTGGGCTGGAGGCAGCAGAGGAAGTTCACGTCCGAGCCCTTGTCTGCGTCCAGAGGCCACCCACGTTCCCTGGCTCGTGGCCCCTCTCCCCATTCCAAGCACACCACTCCAACCTCTGCTTGTGGCCTTCCATCTCCTCCTTCTCCCGGGCCCCCGTCTGGCTTCCCACCCCACCTTCTCTGCATCCCCTGCACAGGGGCCCTGCCCTGACACTGGACCCTCATGGGCAATGTGGTACAACCCCCTTCTCTGGGTCCTGAAGTGACACATGGCAAAGCCCTCTGCTGTACACGCTCACGGCCAAGCTTCCAGGGGAGGACAGGGTCATCTCACTGCGTCCCACACACGGCTCAAGTGCTGGGTTGCGGGAGGGGCCTTTCCTTACCCCGTCATCGTCGGCACTGCAAGACCAGCGCCCCTGAGGCCCCTCCCCTTCTGGGTTTTAGCTTCCTCCTCACACTCTAAGGTAAGTGGCCAACCCCTTAGCCCAAGGCCAAGGAGGTGGCCCTGTCCAGGGCTTTTACTACCAGAACTGGGAGCGCTGCCCACCGGCCAGCTGCCACCCTACACTGGCTTTCCTGCTGTTGAGGTCCCTCCAGCTCCTGCTGTGCCCTGCAAGGGCTGCCCTTGGTGCCCTTGCAGGTGTGCGCACTGGTGGGTGTGTGGGCACATGGGCACATGGGTACATTTACATGCACACCTTACTCCCTGAGCCATGCTCCCAGTGGAGAGAAAGGAAACCAAAAAAATAAAAGTATGGAGAGTGTTCATCCTTGGCACGGTGAGCAGTGAAAACAAGGAACACCTGGGCTTTGTTTAAGAGCAAAGGCACTGGCGCCCAGGGAGACTGGGCGGGCAGGCAGTTGGGTGGTTTGTGGAGCAGTGAGACCAGGCAAAAACACCTTGAGCAAGTTCTGAGGATGGGCTGAGGCATCATGATTTCTGGACTTTCTGTAGTTTTTATTAAAACTAATTTTTTTCCACCGCCCCCAATCCAAGTGCATTGGCTCTGCCAGCTGCCAGGTGACACAACAAAAGGCCCACCAACTGGACCACTGCCCAGACCTGCTCTAACTGCTGCTGCAGGCTGGGGCCCCGACCTAGCCCACGTACCCCTCCTGCACCAAAGCCAGGCCCACAGCCCCTGACACGCACTGTCTGGGGCTCCACGGGCTCCATCTCTGCAGGCCACGCATTGCGGGAGTGACAGAGGCAGCGTGCCGAGCACTGCAGAAACGTGCCGAGCCTTCCTCCGTTCACACTCCACCTGCTGCCCCCGGACAGGCCCCGCCAGCCTCGGAAGAAGCACCGGGAAGCCTGCGGGGCCCAAGCCGGCCTCCCCGACTTCCCCAGCCACTCCCCTCCGACTTCCAGGCCACACTCATCATTTGTGGGCTGGGTCAGCTTGGCCTCCAGGACAGAGGGTCACCCAGAAGCCACCTGTCCTGCAACAGCCCGGCAGGCTGAGCTTGAATCCTCACGGGTTTCTCATGACTCGTGTGGCCCGTGCACCTCCCGTGTTGGCATCCAGGGCTGCCAGGATCAAGGGACCGCAGGCCCACGCTCCCTCTGCAGGCTCCAGGGAAGGATCCTCCCCACTCTTCTAGCTCCCAAGAAGTTCCCAGCAATCTAGGGGCATCCCTCGGCAAAGGCAGCACCACTCCAGTCTCTGCCTGCCACTCCAGGGCCTTCTGACTGTGTGTCTGTCCAACTTTCCTCTTACAAGGACGCCAGCCCTGCTCCAGGCTGACTTGCCTCAACTTGACTGCATCTGCAAAGACCCTCTTCCCACAGGAGGTCCCTTCCTTGGGTCTGACGGTTGACAGGCCTCAGGTCTGTTCCCTACACTCTCTAGGTCTTAGCCTCCCACACCAGCTTCCACCTCTTCAAGTTTTGTAAACTAAAATCACATCTGCCGTGAGCTCCACGCAGGTCTGCAGCTAGCTCTCCCTCCTGGTCAGGCTTCCCCAAACAAGCAGGATGCACCCGTGACAAACCATGAGTGACAGGCCCAGGGATAATCAGCAGGTGCAGAGAGCAGCCACAAATTCTGTCTGATAGGACCAGGGTAGCTGCAGCGTTCTGGGACACAGAGAGGGGTTAGACGCTGGTGTGACTACAGAACGGGGGCGGGCTGTGCTCTCCTCCTTGGACCAGGTCAACAGTAAACCCAGCTCTCTCACAGCCATAGGTCATGTGATCCAACTATGTGGGACAAACAGCAGGACTTACACAGAGGGCCTGGAAGTGACCTTGGTTTCTTGAATTCCAGCCACCTGAGCCTCCCTGGAGAGTGCAGCAGCCCCCACAGGACATAAGGCCCGTGGCTCAAATCTTGCCTGTTCTCCAGATCATGAGGGCTTGGGCCAAACGGCCCTGGGGAGATGCCTGGACCGAACATCCTCATCTGTCAGTCTGGGATTTCTGCTGAGCACAGCCCCAGGGCGATGGCCACCCACAGGGGACAGAATGGGCTCCTCACTCTCCACTACTGCTGACCACTGCCAACAAGCATGGGCTCCCTCCCTGGGGAGGCAGAAAGAGCCCGGATGCAGAGCAGAGAGACAGGGTCAGGTCCAGCCTGGATCATAGGGCACTTTGAGCAACCTGCCACAGCCTCCTATGGTGTCCAGGGTGGGCTGGGAGACCCTCAACATCACAGCTGAGGGTACCATGACCACCTGCATTCAGGCTGTGTCCAGCACCCAGGATACCTGCAGCCCACACTGTCCCCACCACCCCAGGACACTTCCAGCCCTGACTGCCCCACCAACCCATGGTGACCTCTTATACAACATCCGCAGCACAACGTCACAACCACTAATATGACACAGCACTCGTCCCTGCAGGATCCCCTCTGCCCTCCACAGCCTCACCTCTTCATACCCTTCCCACCCCAGCAACTGACCTGCTCTCCCTCTCTAACTTTGTTGTTCTGGGACTGTGACATAAGTGCAGCCACAGCATTCGGAATGTCTGGCCTGGCCTTCCCTCAGCATAGTTCCCTGCAGGCTCGCCCAGGTCACTGTGAACACCCAGCATTTATCCCTTCCTCCTGCTCGGCACGAGTCATAGTGGATTGACAGTCTGTGTAATCATTCACTAGCTCAGGGACATCTGGGCTAATTCCAGTCTGGGGCTATGATGAACACAGCTGCTTTAAATGTTCACCCACTAGGTTTGTGCAAATATGAGTCAGTGTTTCTCTGCAATGAATACCCAGGAAAGGGAAAACTGTCAGTGCTTCAAAATGGACCACTGGTGTCCAACCTGTCACAGAGAGTGGGAGGAGACCATGAGGCATGACCACGAGGCCAGAACCTCACCTTTGCACAAACAGTACACGGGAAGCACTTCTGCAAGGACGTCTGCCCACCCGCGGCTCGGGCCACCCTTGCTGTTGGTCCTGTAGCCAGGGGGCACTGACTCCAGCAACCCCCCTCCCTTTGCCTTTACAGACTCCCCCTGGCTTCAACCTGCTTCGTGCACACATAGCTACCGTGGTGCCTGCCTCACACTGCAATGGTGAGCTCACTGTCTTCAGGAATCTGGGTCACCTGTCAGCAGTCCTTAGATCACACTGTAGTTGATGTTTCATTTCCTAAGATGCTGCCCAACTGTGGTCCAGAGTGGCTGCCCACCTCACATTCCTGCCAGCAATGCACGAGGATCTTCACATTTGCATCAGTGTTTGGTTTTGCCCCACCACGTCTTAGCCACCCTGCTGGGTGTCCAGCACTGCGGCTGTGATCTACCTGTTGTGGTGGCTGAGTGGGCGAGCACCTGGACGGCTTCTCTAAGCTCCCCCTACATTCATGTGCTTGGTCTTTTGCTCAATTTTTGATTGACAGTTTAATTCATCGTCTTTCCTGTTGAGTTTCTAAAGCTCTCTGTATGACATTCTGTGTCCTGGACCTCTGCTGGATAAGGGGTTTGCAAACCCCTTCTCCCAGGCCGAGGCTTGGCTTTCCGTCCTCTAGTGTGTGTGCTGCTCGGGGTGGACCTAGGGTGCTGTCCAACACCTGTGTCTTCCATTGAGTAGCACCTCCTCTCAACCTCCAAACAGCATCTTCAGAGCAGCAAACATTTTTTATTTTTGATGAAGTTCAATTTTGCTTTTTCTTTTACCAATCTTGTTGTCAAGTCTAAAAATGCTCTGCCTAACGCTAAATTCTGATGATTATTTTTCCTCAAATTTTTATAGTTCTGCATTTCACCCACTGTCCCTCCAGGATGATTGGTTTGTGAATGCAGTCTGAGGTTAAGTTCAAGTTGAATTTTTGCCTCCAAATCTCCAATGACTCCAGCACCTATTTTTGAAAACCCATTTTTTTCTCTACTGATTGCTTTTATGCCTTTCTCAAAATCAGCTGGGCATATTTGTTGGGGTCTACTTTTGAATTTTCTTTTCTATTCCATTGATCTCTGTATCTATTTCTCCTCTAATCATTATAATGATTATAAATCTTAAAATTGGGTAGCCTAATTCCTCCCACTTTCTCTTTTAGCTATTCTAGCTTCTTTACTTTTACATATAAGTTTACAATTACCTTCCCTGTATTTATAAAAATTTGATTTTCACATGTATTAAATTAAACGCATATTTCGTTTTGTGGAGAATTAACATCTTTACTATATTGAATCTTTCAATCCATGAACATGGTATGTCTCTTCATTTATTTAGACATTTTTAAATTTCTTTCATCTGCATTTTCTAGTTTCTGGCATACACGTCTTGTTTTGTTGATTACTCCTAAGTATGTCTGCTTTCTTTTGAGTGATCTTAAATGTTACTAGACTTTGCATTTCAGTGTCCACAAGTTCATTGCTAGTCTATAGTAATACTATTGGTCTTTGTGTATTTCTTGTATCCTATGACCTTGCTGAACTCACTTATGTTCTGGGAGGGCTGGGGATTTGTTTTTGTTTAGGGGTTTCTGTACATTCTTTGGTATTCTTGGGTAGACAATCACATCATTGGAAAATAAGGATAGATTTCTTTTTTCCTTTCTGACTTGTGTGTTTTGTAACAGGTTAAAGAAGAAAAAAAATCACATGGTCATGTTGATCAAAGCAGATCAACTTTTTTTTTTTTTTTCGCCTTCTTGTACAGGCTAGAACTCCCAGCACTATGTTGAATAAAAGTGGGCAGAGCAGTTACTTGCTCTGTTTCTGATCTTTGGGGGAGAGTATTCAGTCTTTAAAGCATTTAACTTTTGTTTTGAATCTGTAGACGTTCTTCATCAACATTAGAAAGTTCCCCTCTATCCCCACTTTTCTGAGAGTTTTTACTATGAATGCATGTTGTATTTTGTCAGATGCTTTTTCTACTTTGATCAACGTGACCATGTGATTTTTTTTCTTCTTTAACCTGTTACAAAAGCGATGGTTTACACTGATTAGGTTTTGACTATTTAACCAGTCGTGCATACCCAAAATATTCTCCTCCTTGTCATAATGATTCATTCTTCTTATATATTGTTGAATTCCATTTGGGAAAATTTCATTAAGGATTTTTCTTCTATATTAATATTGATCTTTAGTTTGCTTTTTGTACCATCTGGCTGGTTTTAGTATCAGGGTGATACTAGTTTCATAAAATTGAGAAGTTGTCCTCCCTCTTCTATTATCTGCAAAAGATTGTGTAGAAATGACACTAATTCCTCATTAAATGCCTAAAATAATTCTCCAATGAAAACTCAGGTATAGGAATTTCTTTTTAATCATTAATTCAATTTCCTTACTAGCTATGGAGCTATTCAAATGGTCTATCTCATAATGGGTGAATTTTCTATCTTGTTGTTTCAAAGAACTTGTCCTTTTCATCTAAGTTGCCAAATTTATGTGTGTAGAATTATTTCTAGTGATCTCCTACTACCCTTTGATGCCTGCAGGGTCTGTAGTGATACTTCCTTTCATTCCTGATATTAGTAACTTGTCTGTTCCTTTGTCAGTCTTGCTAGAGGTTTATTGATCTTTTCAAAGAACCAACCCTTTGTCTGATTTTCTGCATTGTTTTTCTGTTTCAATTTCATGATTTCTTATCTTTGTTATTTCTTTCCTTTGGCTTTCGCCTTTTAGTTAGATTATTGATTTGAGCTTACTTCCTCTCTTCTAACATAAGCATTTAGTGCTATAAATTTCCTTCTTGACCCTGCCATAGCTGTGCCCCACAGCTAAATTTCATATGTTGTCTTTTCAATTTCACTCAGTTCAATGTCTTTTTTACATTTCCCTAGAGAATTCCTCCTTGACCCATGGATCATTTAAAACAGGGTTACTTAGGCCCCAACTGCTGGAAGATTTTCCTGCCATCTTTCTGTTACTGATATCTAATTTGATTGCACTGTGGTCAAAGAACACACTCTGGGCCTGGGGCTGTAGCTCAGCGATAGAGCACTGGCCAAGCCAAGCAAGGCCCAGATTCGGTCCTCAGACCTGGGTGGGGCGGGGCACACACTCCACATGCTTTCAGTTTGTTGAGGTCTGTTTTCTGCTTTCTGATGCAATCTATCTTGGTATGTGTGACATAATGTGTTTCATGCTGAGGTTTGGATGGTACGTTCTATGAACATGGAGCAGATGGTGCTGGTGGATAGTTTTGTTGAATTCTTCTACATCCTGGCTTGTTTTATGTCTGGCCACAAATTGGCTGTGGTCATTTATTAAGGGTCACTGCTATTTTTTATCCATACTATCTAAAAAAAGCCCACCTTAAATACTCAGATACTGATAGATTAAGAAGAAAAGGGTGGTAGAGGCTGAGAGCACAGCACAGCACGTGTGTGCTCAGCATGCACCAGTTCAGTCCTGGCTGGAATTCAAGAAAGCAAGGTTCCCTGCAGGCCCTCTGTTCAGTCAGCTTGTTCTGCCATTGTGCAGGGTGCAGAGTTGGGCAGTCCTCGCCTCAGCCTCCCGAGCCTTCTAAGACCCTCCCACTCAAGGAAAGCCCCTTTCTTAAGGAAACTGGAAGGATGACTTCCCTCCCCTGTTTACCTGGACTTTGGTCCTAACTCATTTCTTCCTCTGGCCAGTTGCTAAATGCTAGTTCTCTGCAGAGCTAACTTACCAAATGACCAATTCCCCAATTTTTTATTGTTTCCTAGAACTTGATACTTTACTGTTACTGATACTTTACACTGATACTTCACTGCTCTGGATTCCAGTAAGTTTCCTCTCTTGCTCTTTCAGACCTCAGAGAAGCAAAACCTACCTGTTTCACTTGCCTTGGAACACTGGGTTCTCTAAGCTCTGCCCACTGCTTTGTAAATGGTCTCATTACTAAACTTTTCTCAGTGACCCAGTTTTCTGTGCCATCTGTTTCCCACTGTGGTCTTATCAAACAATGTACAGCCCAGGGAGCTACTGCCATTACCCAGGACCCCCACAGAGGGAATCTATCAGGCTCTTTCTGCAATAAAATGCAGATACAGACTTCTGTCTCCTCTTAAACATAGAATGCTGCAGAGAACATAGCTCCCCACAAATAGTGAAAAAAGACAGATGACCCTCAAAACCATCAGAGGCGAGTCACAGGGAACAAAGCAAACTGGATTCTGAAAAGGAATGGGCCCATCGATAAGGGAGAGAAAACACCAGGTGCTTCATTTTGACAGGTGTTAAAGTGATTCAGCGATGCTTGTCAAAGCACAGAAAGGAAGAGCTCATTCACCACCACTGGACAGATGTAAGGCCCAGGCAGAGGGGCTCTGCAGTGGGGGAGGGACTGGGCTCTACTCCAAATACAGTGCCGGCAATGGGGGCCAATTGCTAAGGACAAGAGAGGCCAGTGGGTGGAAAGCCACAAGGGATTTCAAGGTGAAGCAGGCCCTGGCTAAATCGACTTAATAGGGTTCTTGCTGAAGGCAGGTCAGGTGACCAGACGTACCCTG